TATATATATATATATATATAAAGTTATGCCATTTTACAAACATATATAATGTTTGTAAAATGGTACAGCTTTTTATATATCTGAAAGTACACTCTTAATATCAGTCAGTCAAGCATTATAATATGATAATCAAGTATTATTTAATAATAGAAGTTTAGTGATTAGAATTAAAACTTGGTAACCATGAACTTAGGACTGGTGCTGGTGCTTTTTTTGGTCATTCAGTGTTTCTGTAAAAAAAAAAACGAACAATGATACTGATAAGATATTATTATTATTATTATTATTATACGAATTCTACTAATAAGAACAATATAAAAACGCACTAAGGATTAATGAGCTACTGGATTCATGAATATTAATCAGGTTGTGTGCGTTTGCTCGAACTGATTCGCTGAAATCAACACAGGGACGATAATAGGTGAGCACCAGCCATTTATATCACAATATATTTCTTAATTTCGGTCGATACGATATAATTCTGATATCGATATGAACACTATTAAAAAAACCTCATAAAAATGGCCAAAACAGATGTCTGTACTAAAATCAAGTATAATGGGAACACAGAATGATCTTGGAGAGAGCTTTACCGAGCTGACTGCTGTAAACGAACGCGATGAGGGTTTAAAAGCTGAACGAATGACTGACAGCCACAGAGGAGAAAAGAGTTTGTGTGAACTTTAATGTAAGGACTTAAATATTCATATGTAGCTCACATTAAGCTATCGTATGGCTTCAGAATACCACAGAATAATTCACACAATCGAAAAAATAAAAAATAAATTATCGGATTTGGATCGGCTCTCTCTGACCGATACCCGAGCTGAGAAAAATGGCAGTATCGGAGCCGATACCCGATATGAATATCGGATCGTCGCATCCATAGTGTTAACTGGTGTTAAGGTACCAAAATGAAAATGACAAATACAATGATATTTTATATGTACTGTAGGCCTATATAAGCAAAATCTGAACCACAATTGTCTCTATATAGTAGCAAAAAAGGGCACATTTGCATAAATTTAAAAAAACACTTTAAAACATTAAGTAAACTGCAAATACCTGACAAGATTTTTGGTCTTGATTCTAGGGGCTTTGACTCCACCACCAATGATGCTGGATCCAGTGATATAAATCCCCCTGCAGAGTTACATACTTGTAATTTCCTGCTTGTTTATTACATTTCAAATATTTAAGTAAAAATAATACAAAAGAAACACGCAATATTCATTTTGGTGATTGAGCTATTGATAGGAATACAGAGTTGAATGCCTTTATTTATGGAGCTCTTTTAAACAGTGCAGAAGAGGATATGGAAAACTGCACTACAACATGTCAAAATTTCCAATATGTTTTTTTTCTGAGCTGTCAACTTCTGTAAGACACACAAAAAAAGAGGAAATAGACAGCCTTACCATGCAGCTCCAACAACAGACAGAGAGATGGCCAGGCCAATTCCAAGATTAGCCCACATAAATGGAGAAGTCTCTGTTAAAAACCTGCAACAGAAAAGATTAGGTTATCTAGACTTCATTAGGAGCATTTCATTCATCTCAAGTCTTAAATTAGGTCTTGTGGATATCAGAAATGTCACTGTAGTGAACAAAACAAGTCCTACATTAAGGTTTCAAAAACTGAACACATACCATGCTACATCAAATCGAAATCCAAGGTCAAAAATAGTATAGCAAATACCTGTGAAGAAAGAAAAAGAAATGACTAGATTAGTACTGTTTAAGTTAAGTGTTTAAGGTTAACCAGAAATTTTAAAGGTGACAGAATTTTCATCTCAACCTAAAAAAACCCCTGAAAGTTTACATTTGAGGGGGAAAAAAAGTGGCATAATCTGAATAAACGGCATAATATGGATAGAAGTTTTCTGCAAACTCATAGAGGTATTTGTGAAAGCTCAGTCATGTGAGAGCTATCTTCCTCATTTGGACATAAAACCCTGTTCGACTAACCTATAACTACTATATATTAAAAAAAACACACTGCCTTCACATTGAATTGAATTTTGCTGCTCTCCTATGCGATTACAGCCAGCGTGTGGAGAAACAGGTGAAAATACAGATAACGTTAACGTTACCAGAGAACCATTTCTCCAACTACAGCTAACACAATAAAAACGTTCCCGTCAGAGCAGGTGTATGTCTAACTCACATTGACAGCCTTTAAAATGATTGGTACTAACTCCATAGCTCGAATTTTAAATGTTTACTCCAACGTTTAACGAAAACAGCGTTCAATACAATTAAAGCGACGTTTAAATTCATGTTTGGCGAAGTCGTGCTAGTGTATGACAGCTAACGTCAGTTAAGGCAAGCCAAAAATGGCTATCCGGCCAAAGAGACATGAGGAACAGTAAAGAATTAGAAAGATAACCATGTACGAATCAAGTCACCGTGACTCTATTAAGATGCGTGTGTTATTAATGTCCATATGGCAGCTGGTCTCATTAGCACTCACCGACGATCAGGATGGTCGACCAGAAGGCCAAAGTGACCCCGGTGTATAAAATTGCGTGCCCGTTCATCATCCACTCCACCAACAGCACCAGTTTTGCTATCTAAAGGTTTTCCCGCGAATAGAACTAAAGCTACAGTGATGTTATTTTCTGTTAGATGATTGTATTTTGAAGAGAAATGGATTCCTGTGAGCCCTTCGAAGCGGCGAAGGCTGGAAATCCTGCATCCATCAGAGGGAAGGAGTCATCAGCTGATCATGTGACGCGCTCGAGCTGAGCACGTGACTCAAGACGTCACGCTTCCTCCCATTTACATTTACATTACATTTACTTTTATCCAAAGCGACTTAGAATGAGGACAATAGAAGCAGTCAAACCTAACAAAAGAGCAACAATATGTAAGTGCAAATGGCAAGTCTCGGTTAGCCTAACGCAGTGTAGCAAGGTATATGTATATATGTATGTATATGTATATGTATATGTGTATATATATATATGTATATATATATATATATATTATACACACACACACACAAAGAAAAACAAGTAGATAGAATAGAAAAAATAGAAAGCTAGTGTTTTTTTAATAAAAAGAAGGTAAATAGATCAAGTAGAATTAAAATAGAATAGAAAGTGCTAGAGTTTATGGAGGACTAAACCTGCAAAAACAATAAATAAATAAATAAATAAATACACAAATAAATAAATAAATGTGTGTATAAATGCACAAATTCTTGTTTAAATACATATAGAAATAATTAAACATGTGATTAAAGTAGGCAAATAAATAAAATAAATTGGTGGGCAAATGGAAAATGTTTAAGGAAATGTTAAACTCATCCTATTTATTTTCCGTTGATCACTCATTTATTTCTGAATGTAGTTCCGCATTTATTTTTCCTCTGCACAACATGCTAACGAGAGGGTGTCAACCATGGACTTGGTCGGGTCTTGTGATAGCTGGGGGCGTGGCTTTCTCGCTGACAGAAGATGCATGGTGTAAATCCAGTATAGCCTAATAAAGTCACTTTTGCCGTTCAACAGAGCAAGATACATAGAAAAATTGAGCCGTATTGTCCGTCCAGTATCTGTGACTTTACAAACGACCCAGTGGAATGGCCAGAGGTGTTATTTCCCAGCATTCGATATTCGCAAATCTAGGGACCGTCTCTAAAGTTACATACGACATTGGTATACGCTTTTCTAACTTCAATAGCATTTGAGGAAAATTACTTACAGTAACACAACCAACTGTGAAGTGGTCATTTAGTTCTCGGTTATAATGCACACCTTTTAGATTTTGATATTTTTATTACTATAAAATATAGTGCAAACAGTTCGGACGTTGCACAGTGCTCAATCAATAAATGCACAGCTAAACAGATGAGTTTTGAGTCTGCATTTTGTCCAGGTATCCATTTGAGTTTAAGTATTTGTTCAGCTGATTAAAGACTACCTTTTCAATAATCTTGCCTATAAAAGGAAGATTTGATATTGGTCTATAGTTGCTCAATATGGTGTTATCAAGATTGCTCTTTTTCAGAAGGGGTTTAACAACTGCAGTTTTCAGGAAGTTTGGAAAAGCCCCAAACAATATTATATTCAACCACCAATATTCAGCAAACTAGAATCCAAAACTAACTGTAAGCTTGTTTCACATTCTGTAGATTATCTCAGTAATGAAATCTCAGTTCA